TCCAAGTTTTCAGAATTTTAAAATTTTATTTCTGTTGTAAAATTCATCAAAACGACATTTTGAAATTTTCAGAACTTGAGAAGGCAGATGTGGGAACCAACGATCGAGCCTCCATATGTGTGTGCCACCCAAGTGTGGGGCCCATGTGATCCCCTAGGGTAGTACGCCCCATTTTTTTAAATATGCCATCTTTTAACAGGATAGGGAATCTTTTAATTTTAAAATAGATTTGATTTCCTATTCAAGTGGGAGTTTTAAAAATCAATATTATCTTTTCACTTCTTAAAGATTATGGAAGATCTTCCAGATAATGCTAAAAGTGGTTATTATTTAAATTTTAAATAAAAGTTGGACTTGGGTCCAATTATAAGGGGATAAGGTTCCTAATTTCCACCCAAAATCATGATGGCTGACTTATGGGATGGATGGCTCTGATTCAATCTCTCACCCCACATTTTTTAATTATCCTAAAGGTCAAGCTGGACAATAAGATAAAGCATCCTAAATGAAATTTTACTCCAAGTAGGAAATAGATTTGTTTCTATTTAAACACCATTTAGCCCCTCTTTAAAAAGATATTTCTCTCTCCTCTATGCACACTAATCTTTCTGTCTCATAAAAAATTCGTTTTCCTCTCTGCTCCCTTCTAGATAGGGTCATGCCACCCAAAATTTAATAAGACAAGGGTGCCATATTGAACCCCTAATTAGGGTTTTGCTGTTTGGAGAAGAAAAAGGGCTTTGCCCAACCATAAGAGGATTCTATGCCTTCAAACCCAGCCCTTATTTGTTCCTAAGGGTTCCTACAAACCCTAATTAGGTTTTCATGCTCTCTAAAACCCTAGAGAAAGAAGTACTGCTTGTGAAAACTTCCCATCTCAGAATTTCCAGTAACACCTAAAGGACTAAAAATGCGTCATCAGTCAGGGAATCGTGTAGGGTGGATCAAGACCCATTGTTCCAAAAGGCAGACTGCCCGGTGCTTAGGCGGTCTAGAGGGCCTGGGCGCGTCCGCCTGGGCCGTAAAAATAGGCGCCCTGCCAATGGGCGGGCCACCTAGGGGCTTGGGTGCCTAGCCTAGGGCCTGTGCCCCACCCAAGGGTAGAAATGCCCCGTGTTGATGGGCATTTTTCGGTTTTTTATTAAAATAAGATGGGAAAAAGGTTGGGTTTAGGTTCATTTCAAACCTAAACCCTATTAGAGCCCATTGTAGAGAGAGAGAGAAACCTCAAAAACCTAGATTCTTGTGAATTTCATAGGATCGAAGGGTCTCTCCAAATTACGAGAAATCGATCTAAACATCACCCATTGAGATTAGATTTAGTTTTGGAGGTTTTATAGGACTATAAGAGGGTTTTTTAAAAGATCTTGAGATTAGAAACATTTCAAAGGAGGAAGTTTGGATATCGAGCAATCAAAGTTAGTAAAAAAATTTATTTTTTAGATTTCTTGTATTATTTTGAGATTTCTTCGGGATCTAATAGAAGTGGTGATCTGGTTGGAAATATGGCTATAACCTAAATCCTTTTGATAAAAATTGCATAAGATGCAATTATCGTGAAAAGGATTCAAATGGGGGAGCATAAACAGGTTTAAGAAACATCTTGCCGGTAATAGGGGGGATGTTGCTCCATGTAAAAAACCTGATGCTATTAGAGAGGAGATAAGAAATTATGAGTATTGTAAAAAAGAACAAAGAGGAGAGAGAGGCATCCATAGCATAGCTGAGGTATGGGGTTTGTGTCAATTTTGATGATAGTGATTAGGAGGGGTGTGAAGAGGTGGAATAGCTAGTTGTATCTCAGACTAGGGGAAGGGAAAGGGAGTTGTACTTGGTTCTAGGACTGGGGGGGCTAAGAGGCCTCGGGTTAGAGGGCCTACGGATTGTTTTTTCCCCTAGCCTAACCCTGAGGTTGCAGGAGAGAAACAAAGAAGCAAACAACTATTGAGAATATAATCAAGAAGGAAGAGAAATAGAGCTGCACTGTACATTGCTAGATGGTTTTATGAGGCAGGCATTCCTTTCAATGTCGCTCGCCTAAGCAAGTTTCTACACCAGTTTGGGCCTAAGATGAAGCCTCTAAACCCCATATGAGCTTTAAGAGCCTCTTTTGAAAAAAGAGGTGATTGTCACGAGGGAGATTGTTGAAGCTCAAAAGGATGCATGGGCTCAGTATGGGGTTTCTGTTACGACTGACAATTGAGTGATAAGAAGAGAAGAAGCTAGATGAATTTGTTTGTGAATTGTCCTTTAGGGATTGTTTTTTTTTTTAGGTCTATTGATGCCTCTTATTATAGCCATTACATATTTCAAGTGATGGAGAAGGGCATCAAGGAGGTTGGGGAGCAACATGTTATACAGGTTTCATAGATAATGTTGCTCCTAATGTTGTTGCTACTAATTTATTGCGCACAACTTACCCTAGTATCTTTTGGGCACCATGTACAACACACTATATAGACCTTATGCTCGAGGCTCTTAGCGGTTTGAGTGATATTTCATATACATTTAAGAACAAGTCAGCTACGACTTTCACTTATAGCCACACCCCCACCCTCAGCATGATGCATAGATTGACAAAGAAGAAAGAGATTGCGAGGCCCGGTGTAACGATATTTGCTACTTGGTACCTATGCCTAGATAGCATACATTTGAGGAGAGTTCAGTTGAGGCAGATATTTACCTCAGATGAGTAGAGAGCATGCAAGTGGTCCAGGGATCAAAAGGGGAAGAAGGTGAGAGATATTATCCTTTCTAAGGATTTTTTGGGAGGGGAGAAGGGCATTCTTAAGGTATTTTTTTCCTTTTGTCAAAGTCCTTCGTATGACTGATAGTGATAAGCCCTCCATGGGCTACATATATGAGGCAATGGAAAAATGCAAAAGAGAGATATCCCATAATTTAGATGATGATGTGGGCCGCTATGAGCCTGTTTGGAAGCTAATTGATGAAAAGTGAGAAAGTCAGCTACATCGGCCATTGTATGTAGCCAGTTATTTTTTGAATCCAGCTTTTTTTTATGCTGATAGGGATATACACACAAATGATACAATTATGACTGGATTTAATAAGTGTGTAGATGTGCTAGTCCTTAATCCAGATATCCAGAACATCATATGCGCAGATGAGCTAATAAGTTGCAAGAGCGGATTAAAGTCTTTCGAGAGTCCAATGGCAGTGAAGCCAAGGACCAAAATTGATCCAAGTAATAATATTCTTAAGTTCCTCAAGTTCAAGTTTTATTTCGTGTTTGTTATTTGTTTTTCATAGTCAATATTACATATATAATTAACAATTGTAATTCATAATCAATTTACAGCCAATCGGTGGAGCCCACATAGATGCAGTACACTAAATTTTCAAAAGCTGGCATTCCAATCTTAAGCCTAACAACTACCTCATCCGGCTATGAGCGGACAATGGAGTACTTTTGAGATAGTAATTCAGTTTACTTTATTAGTTTACAAATTACAATTTACTTATTTGAATTAGTACTTTAGTAGTTGCTAGTTACTTTGTTAGTAATTACTAATTATTATGTCAGTTGTAAATTTGTTTGTAGTATATTTATATTAATTAGTTCCATTTGATTTTATTAGATCCATACAAAGAAAAGGAAAAGGCTTGAATCAAAGAGGCTCAATGACTTAGTCTATGTCAAGTATAATCGCTACTTGAAAGAGAGGTTTGCTAAGAGAGACCCCCTCAGATTAAAAAAATATGAATAATGCTATTGAGTGGTTGGTTGATGATGATGAGATCAAGAGGCATGAAGGATTAACATGGGATATGGTCATAGAGCCCTCAGGACATCAGCCGACCCTCCTAAGGCCACTAGATCTTCTTCCCAAATGATGAGGGTGGAGGAGAAAGGAAAAGCAGATTCAAAAGAGACAAAAGAGGACGACTATTATGTTGAGGAGGGAGATGATTCCGATGATGATAGCCTCAACTCCAATGCATATGATGCAAATGCTGCTGACCTGCTTTTTATGATGATGAGTGATGATTAAAGACTCTTTTGAGTCTTCAAGTTTATATTTCTTTCATTTTTCTTTTCCTCCTCTTGGTTATGTACTGTTATTTGTAAATTTTTAAGTTTTAACTATGTGTGGACTATGGATACGGACTTATGGAGTGTATGTGGACTTGTGGACTACAGACATTTGATGTGCCCCCTAACTCTTATGTGTTATTTCTTATTTTCTTTCATTTTCTTGATGATGAATTGATGTCTTGCTAAGTTGCTACCCTTGATTATAAACTAAAATATGTCTCAGTATGTATTTTTAATATGTCTCAATTTGAAATGCATGGAATTACGGACTAAAATATGTCTCAATATGTATTTTGTAATTTTTTACACAAAATTTGACCATGGAACAACTTTTTGTTCTAATCGGCAGCCTAGGTTCTTGGGGCTCGCCTAGGTGCTGGGCGGCCTAGACCGCCCGGCAGCCTAAGTGTTACCCGGCGTTTTTTGGAACACTGGTATGATCTTCCCTATTCAATTCATCAGCCCAAATACTAACCATTTACAAGGAACAACTTTGCAAAACAATGCAATCTGGCCAATAATTGCCATTGTCTGGTCACATTTCATTGCTAATTATCCAAATAATGTTTTTAATCATTATCCAAATAATGTTGAAGTCAGTAAAATTCATCATTGCATACCAAGTTATATGCTCCTCAAAAGAAGAGAGACGTATGATTATTGTCATGGAAAATAATAATCATAACAAAAGCCAAAATAGCCATCACCACAAGCTAAACAAACTGTTCAAGATAAACTGAGAATGCAAAAGACACCAATATTTCAAGCCCAACGGGGTCAGGGATTGAAATGGTCCAGTCACATTCCATTCTAATAATCAGGACAACCCCAAAATAGGACCCCCTTATGATTTCAAGTATCATATTGAAAATGCAATAATAGGAAACAATTGACAAAAATAGATTGATAGATAGTATAGATAGAGGGAGCTGGTTGCACACACCTTTCCCATGAGCTGCCACATACTATAGTCATGAACTCCCTCTGATACCACAAGCAGTATGTGACAAACAGATGCAAGGAATACACCAAGCTACAATGGTTCCTTGCAAGACCGATGAAAAAAGGATTACGCTTGATCAGAGACTCTAAAGCAGCATACAAACTGTTCAAGATCACAATCCACAATATAACAGAGGTATGAAGTACCTGAATACCCATCATTTCATGGGCCAGCTCAGCTGAGAGGGGCTCACCATTTAAAATCGAAATTGCTGATGAACCATCAGGCCTCATAATCTCAGCCAAAACAGATGGACTAAACACGGGCTGAACAAAGCAACGGATTGATTAAATTAGGTGAAAAAGAGAGCGCACAACAGATGCATTATAGGTGCAAACAAAGGAGATGAAAGATGAGCATCAGGAATTTAATTTAGCATTACATTCAGAGGAGCCTTTCATGGATAAAAAATCAGCCACTCCAAAATTAGAGTTGGCACACCTGTGGAAAATTGCGTGCAATATGGAAGAAATCTTGGGCACTAGTAGTAAAGGGAATATCCTCTTCTACAATGTGTTTTGGGGGGCTCCAAAAGGCTCCTCTCATAAGGAACTCTATGGTATGAATAGAGAATTTCCCCCTTTTATGTGATCTCACCTTTGTATGTCATAAGTTCTTCACCCATTTATTTCTCTCATTTTTCTTCCTTGCTCCCATTAGATATGCATCTATGTCTCCATTGATGCAACTTCATGTACTAAAATTAAGCAGGGATATCAATCATCAAGGATAAACAATAAAACACTCAGTGTATACCTCTACATGCATCAATAACAAGGTAGATATGAAATATAAGTTTGTCGCAAAGACCCAGTTGTCTCTCATGATAAAGTAGAATGGATGCAATGGACAGATATATAAATCAATTTCCATATG